ACTAATATTATCACATCATATAACTGGATCATCAAAGTGGAGTTGAATAAACACAGCTGGGACATGGTGATGAAATCTGGCTTCATTATAGGCTTGAATACTTAATACTTGTCCACCAAATGAAGCACCAGCTAGTTTTCACTGACACAGGAACTAAATATTTTAACTTGTCTCCTGCCAGAACTTGAAGAAGAGCTGGCATCCCCAGACTATGAAAAACATTGAGCGCGTTTGGAAAGCTGAGCAGAAATATGAGGCTGAACGCAAGAAGATCGAGGAGCTCCAGAAAGAGCTAAAGGAGGAACGAGCTCGAGAGGAAATGACGAGATACGCAGAGGACTCCGGTGCCATCAAGTGAGTGAACGCTCACGTGATCAAGAATGAAGTTCAAATCAAACAAGTGTGTCCAAGTCGCTTATTGTTTGTTTGTTTGGTGACAGAAAAAAGGACGATCGGCTGGACTGGATGTACCAGGGCCCTGCTGGCCAGGTGTCCAGAGATGAGTACCTGCTGGGCCGCCCCATCGACAAGCAGATCACCGACCAGTACGAGGAGCCAGAGAGCGGACCGTCGGCCGAGACCGGCCTCCTGCCTGGCTCCATCTTCAGCCCTACCACCCCCGCCTCCAGCCTCGACCTCGCCGCCAAGATCAGGGAAGACCCCCTGTTTCAAATCAGGTCAGTAAGTCCCTCCTCTGTCTTCTAATTTAATCCTAAAATATGATCGACGTTGCAAATTAACATATTTGTGTTTTTGTTCTGAAGGAAACGTGAGGAAGAAAAGAAGAGAGAAGTCCTGACGAATCCAGTGAAGATGAAGAAGATCAAAGAAATGGTAAACATTGACCTGTAACGGCCTTCTTGGTAACTGTATTTACAACTAAAATGTTTATTATGTAGTAAATGACTGACAGCTACTGTTACAAAGTGCCAAAACTTGACTGCATGTATGTGGTTTTTATAAAAAAGCCTGCAGTGTTGTTCCTAGGGGTTAAAAGCAGGTCTGTTTTCTCACAGCTTCGCCAAAATCTCGACAAGAAAGACAAGAAAAAGAAGAGGAAGAAGGACAAAAAGGAGAAGAAAGGGGACAAAGAGAGGAGAAAGGAAAAGAAGCATAAGAGGAG